CCTAAGGTGGGACTAGAACTCACTGTCTCCTGGTGATTGGCCCAGAGTCACCCAGCTGCCTTTCATGCCTAAGGCAGGACTAGAACTCACTGTCTCCTGGTGATTGGCCCAAAGTCACCCAGCTGGCTTTCATTCCTAAGGTGGGACTAGAACTCACCGTCTCCTAGTGATTGGCCCAGAGTCACCCAGCTGCCTTTCATGCCTAAGGCGGGACTAGAACTCACTGTCTCCTGGTGATTGGCTTAAAGTCACCCGGCTAATTTCCATGCCTAAAGTGGGACTAGAACTCACCGTCTCCTGGTGATTGGCCCAGAGTCACCCGGCCAGCTTTCATGCCTAAGGCGGGACTAGAACTCACCGGCTCCTGGTGATTGGCTTAAAGTCACCCGGCTAATTTCCATGCCTAAGGCGGGACTAGAACTCACCGTCTCCTGGTGATTGGCCCAGAGTCACCCAGCTGCCTTTCATGCCTAAGGTGGGACTAGAATTCACTGTCTCCCAGCATTATAGATAGCCGGTTTCGTGTTGTGGTAAAGGGGGTGGCTTAGAAATCATAGACAGCGAGTTCTCGTCCCGCCCTAGGCATGAAAGCTGGATGGGTGATTTTGGACCAATTACTAGGAGGTGTTGAGTTCCAGTCCTGCCTTAGCCATGAAAGCTGGATGGGTGTCTTTGGACCAATCACCAGGAGACGGTGAGTTCTAGTCCTGCCTTAAGCATGAAAGCTGACCGGGTGACTTTGGGCCAGTCCCTCTCTCTCAGCCCAACCCCCACCTCACAGGGTTGTTGTGATGCAAAAAAATGGGGGGGGGGGTGAGGTCGCCCCCTTGGGTTCACCAAACCCATGTGGGTGGGTGGGTGTGCAATCGTGTGCGTGTGTGTGTATAAATCAAGGAAAAGGCAGGGCGAAAATCTAACAACAACAACAAAATAGTATTTTCCTTTGCCCTTTTTGAGTTTTCCGATGTAAATCGCCTGGAGTCTTTTCCATTTGGCCGCCCTAAAGAGTTCATCATCGCCATCGGTGGGGGGAGGGGTTTCACCTTTGGGAGGGTCTCTGCCCCCAAACGACGGCCCTCCTCCCTCCCTCCCTCCCCCTTGCAATCTCCCTGGCCCTCACTGCTCTCCTTTTCCTCTGCCCGCAGTACCCAACATCCCGACGTCCACGTCTTACTCCAAGAAAACGCAGGCAGCCAACGCTGAGAACAAGAGGCCCGAAGAGGAGAGGGAGGCTGGGCGTAGCAAGGCTGGAAGCACCGTCAAAGTGCCCGCCAGCCCCCTGCCCAGCCTGGAGAGGAAGAAAAGCACCCCTATGCCCTCCACGGTCAGTGCCCGAAGACCCCCCCCTCCCCACCTGTGGGCGGGGCGGGGGGGGGGGAGTAGCTCCATCGCTGATCTATAACCCCCCGTCCAGCGTGGCTACTCAGGAATTTACTATCCAGAGTAGTCCTTGACCTATGGCCTTAATGGAATCCTCTTAAGACATGACCGCCGTAAATCGAGGCAGTCCCGTGACCAAGCTGAGCTTAGGACCTGTTTTGTTGTGGGGGTCACAATGTGGACAACACGTGGATCGTAAAGCGAGCCTGTTGATTCGTTATGGATGTTTTTAGCTTAAAAAGTACGGAAAGTGTCAAAAAAAGAGTCGTATCAGTTGAACAGTCAGTAGCCAAGTTCTCCAAAAATAGTTATTTAATTGGTGGGGGGGGGATATCCTTGCATAGAACCGGGTTATAAATGCCGTTTTTTTGAAGGGGGTGGTCTGTCGTAACTTCAGACGGTCGCTAAGCAAGTCATCATAAGTCGAGGACTGCCTGTATTGCTGTACCCGTATAAAGGCTGCATTACAGGTAGTCCTTGAGGCTCAACATCTGTGTGGCTCGGTGAAATAATTTGGGAGGCAGGTTTTTGCCTCCTTTTACGACTTTTCTTGCCCCCGTTGCTAAGTGAATTGGGGCAGCTGCTAAGTTAATAAGCACGGTCGTGAAGCTAATCTGGCTTCCCCGTGGACAGAAGGTCGCAGAAGGAGATCACATTGCAACCGTCCTAAATATGAGTCAGTGCCCAAGCACCTGAATTTTGATCCTATGGGTGGGGGATGCTACAACGGTCATTAAGTGTGAAAAACGGTCGCAAGTCCCTTTTTTCAGTGCCGTTGTAACTTTGAACAGTCATTCGATGCAGTGTTGTAAGTCGAGGACCACCTTAGAGGCTTTTTTTTTTTTTTTTCTGGATGGGAAACGTTGGAAATCTACTGCCGGCATGCCTACCCTGGCCGGCGGCCATCCCTCACTTGACGTCTCTCCTCGTTTTCAGAACAGCGTTCTCTCGACCAGCACAAATCGGAGCCGCAATTCCCCCATGCTGGACCGCGCCAGCTTGGGCCAGAACTCGATACAGAACGGCAAAGATAGGTAAGGAGGAAGAGGAGGAGGAGGAGGTGGGAAGTCGGCCCTGACCACCCCAGAGGTTGCCCCCACCCAGGAATAAAAGTGTTTCCATTTTAAACCAGGAATAAAAGTGTTTCTATTTAAACCAGGGTTTCAA